TTATTGAGAGAGTGTTCCCTAAAGAATATGCAAGCCATCATTCCTTCAGATGTGTTCATTTACTCATTCTAGCAAATGATTATTGAAAACCTGTTTTGTTTCTAGACAGTAGGAAACGCAATAGTGAACAAGACAGACTGAAAAAAAAAAGTCCTGGCGTTTATTTTCCAGTGCAGTGAGGCACGAGCTAACCTCCATGAGCAAATGATAATTGGATGTTGAAAAGTGATAAAAGCCCTATGGAGAAAAATTAAGGAACAGAGAGAGAGGCAGTGACAGGTGGTTGTGCGATTTAAAATAGGATAACCAAGAATAGCTTCACTGGACAAGAACTTGAAGGAAGTGGGGGTAACTTTGTGGGTATCATGGTGGAAAATGCTGTGTGTTTACTGGGTACACTGTGGGCCCGTGTGCCCGCAGGACAGAAAACGAGGTGTGGAAGCAGAGCAGGATGTGAGGCGGGAGTTGTTTGAGGCAGGCTGCTGTAAGAACTTGGGTTTTTCTCCCAAGTGAGTTGGAAAGTCACTGGAGGAGAGGAGCAGAGAAGTGATATGATTTACACCCTGCCTTTTTGGGATTATGCAGTATATTCGGAGAGGAGGAGGCCGTTGGGAGCAAAGAAGACATTTAAGAGCTTATTGCATCACTGTGGCAAGAGAGGAAGGTCGCTAGGAAAAAAGTAGGAGAGGGGAAGATGGCGAAAGGAAGATTTGGAGTTATGTTTCAAGGTAGAGTTAACAGGACTTATTGACACACAGTGGTGTGGGTGGTAGGGGAAAGCCATGAAAGGGAGAAGAGGAAACCAAACCTACTAGAAAAACAGAAAAGGATTACTCAGCAGTAAGGAAGTCCATTTTGATGTCTGATAATGAGGTATGAGATCATGAATCTAAAATGAAGCCAGTCAACTGGTTGAATTTCTCCAGTACCTTGCTGCTCCAGGGCTGGTGACGAGTAGATACTATGATTTATCCAGATTGGAGTTTTCAAGGCAAGCATCTACATGAGAAGAGAGCAAAGGAGTGATGTTAAAGTAATGAATCACAGGATTCAGCCAGGTCAAGGTGGGAAGAGAAGCTTGCAGAAGGTTTGTTCAGGAACAGTAAACTATCGGCCCTGGGGATACTTAGCCAATGACCTGGGAGAAATGAAGGGTCAGCTCTGAGATGTCAGATGTGTCATTTCTGGCAAAGACAGGATGGTGAGGTACAGGGACATGAGATTTCTGGACACGAGAAGAAGAAATGTAGAGGCGTGAATGCTGAAGTCATTCAGAATGAAGACGGTGTTCTGAAGGAGCAGAAAACAAAACCATTGAACTCAGTCTTGCTAAAGGAAGAGGGGAGAGGATGCCAGAGCTGGGTGGCAGGTGCTTCAAAGAGGAGAGATGTTTCCAGGAAAGAAAAGTTAATAAAGGAATTAAAAATAGAGAAAACAAAACAGACCCAGATGGAGTCTCTCGTGTTGGGGCTCCACTCAGACTTGATTCCTACTGCATTTCAACCTCTCCCGAAGTGTTATCCTATCCCAAGGCAGCTTCCTAACCAGCAAGAGCAGTTCATGTGCATGATGGACCCTCTTACTTTCTGGAGAGAAGGTGATTTACGGGGGGGGGATCTTTTATTTTGCTAATAACCTTGCCCAGCCCCTTTCAGCCTGTAAATACTTCCCATGTGGTGTCTCCTTGAAGTATCTAGATGAAATGCTGCCAGCTTCATGAATCATTTAATAAAGCCAATTAGATCTCTAAATTTGTGAATTTTATTTTTGAACAACAGTGTGGGGGCAGCAAGGACAGTAAAGGGGTTTGAACTCTGCCTCCTTACCCTGAATGGGGGGAGAGAAATGGCTTCTACTGGAGACTGTTGACAAACTGTGCTCCAGGAGGGCCCATCTTCACCTTAGGAGAGAATGGAAAAGGGACTTTCTGAGCAGATGTTGAGAACATCAGAGGAGGTTACTGAGCACCGAGCAGGAGGCTGCAAGCCCAGGGATAGGAGGGTGGGAAGGCTGGTTAGTCCTGGGATTCCCACAGTGCTCTTGTTCTCTTGCCAGCTCTGGGGTAGGGCTGGGGGAGCAGACTCCCCATTGGTCGACGGGAGTCCCCTCAAGGTAGGGCAGCCAGGTATCCACAGTGCTGAAGCAACTTTCTCGGCTTTATTGTGAGAGTCTGAGGGTCATAAAGTTTGGCATAATCCCTGAGGTACCTAAGAGAGGGGATGGACTGAGGAGGTGGCAAGTAAGGTTGAGGATACCAGCGGTTGAAGTATGCAGTGACACCAGTTAAGTGGTTCATTTCGCCAGTGTAGGAGTTGAAAAGAATTTTGGGACTGATCCAGGCTTGATTTGTACAGCTGGTGTGGAAGGAGTGCCCAGAACCAGGCCAAACGCTGTGTTTGGCCCTATCTCTCCCCACCAGGGAGCGTCTGAGCTGTCAGCTAGGTGCTCAGCTGCTCACACCTCCCTGCACTCCCTGGGCTTGTGACCTACCACTAGTTCTTGTGCTCTGACCTTGCCCAGATTTTACAGTTAAAACTGCTCAGCATTTGAGTTTGCTGTGATTCGATCCTATTCTCTTTGTTCCATCTGGACACAGGCATCCTGGGCAGCTTCAGGTAGCCACCCTTCTGGTGAGACTTGGCCCCAGGAAACTCTACCAGGGAATAACTTCCTGAACCGATTTCTCAACAGACTTCCCTGGGCCTGGAAGACAGGCTTGGCCAGCGGCATTGTGTAGGCATGTGCCGGGAATGTCTCCCACTCACCTCTCCCGTAACTGGAACTGAAGGCCTGGTGGGGAGGGTAAGGTAAACATGTCTTTCAACATATTGGCTGACTTGGACACTTTGTCCCAGGTTCTCCTTAACCCCCCACGAGGCTGACATTACTATTCTCTTTACAGATGAGTACAATTTTTGGATACGCCAAAAATTGAAGCAACTTTCTCAGAGTGCGCACACAGCGGATCAGTGAAAGGGTCACTGCTCCCGGCCCGTCCATCCTGAAAGTCGCTGCCTTTTCCATTTGGTTGCTGTGCTGGTAGATCCTGGGAGACGGTGAGTCAGCTAGCTTGGACCTGTGGACCTAAATGTTATGGCCAGTCGTTTGGGCTCTTAAAGATTTGAGTAGTGGAAATGTTAAATGTTTTCTTAAGAAATAATTAAAAAGGCTTTTGCTGTTGTTGCTACCATTGAGAGTGAAATTAGCGTGTAGATTGTATAGGCTTAGAAGGTGGGTTAAGAACTGAAAGCAGCTCAGAGGGATGCTGTCCTTCCTCAAGGCCAGCATTTTTCTTTTCCTCCAAATTTTACATCCCTGACTCCCTACACATCTGTTTCTACCTTGACGCTTTGTTTCTCCAGAGCCTGATTAGCAGGATAAGTGTGCTTGATCCAATTTTCTTGCTCCTCAAAGCATACCTTTTAGTGAGCTCATTCAGTGTGGAATTGTAGCACGAACACACTCTTCACCCTCCCCCCCACCTGCAACTGCTGTAAACTGAAGGGAGTGTAAGGGCTGGTGGGATGGCTGAATACTATAGCATTTCAAATACTGAATATTGTAAGGGAAATATTAACCCAGGGCTGGCCAGAACTTTTGTAGGATTCAAAGATGAACCAAAGGACCAAGTACAAGATTCTGGGTGCTTTCTGTGGCCCATGGTCAAGGACATGTTCAAAGAGAGTGACTCAGGAATGGGACAGTGGAGGAAAGCATGTAGCTAAATAAAAGCACGGTGGTTAATTAACATAAAGACAAACTTTACCATTCTGAGAATTCCCCTTAGGCACTTACAGATTCAGATGATTGTGAGGACAGAGCAGAATCTTTCCATAGTGATGAAGGTAGGGTGTCCTTGGAAAGAGTAAGGGGGAGCACATGGACCCCAAGGCAGCTGTAATGGGGGTGGTTATGTAGGCTAACAGTGAGAGACACGAAACAGACTGACAGCTACGCACCAGCAGGGCCAAAAAGATGTGCACGTAGCCGCCCCCCCCCCCCCCAGGCAGAATTTCTCCTGCTTGATAATCACGACAAAACTGTAGAGCACTCTGAGTGAACCAGAGATAGAGAACCGTGGTCTAAATCTCTTTTCCTGAGGAGAGTAGACAGACAGGCTCTTACCTCCTGTTTTCCATAGCAAGGGGCAAAGCCCCCCAGGCAAACTTTCTCCAAAGGGACTTCAGTCACTAGTTTTCCCAGCATAGATGGTGAAATAACTAACTGCTCTCTAGGGAACTTGCTTTAGCCCAGGGCCTAACTGTTTTCATAGCCCTAAGAGGTCAACCTTAGTTTTGAAAATGATTAGATCAGTTTCCTAAACATATATGCTACACAGCATTTTTATGAATGTGGGGAAACCAGACGAATGAGGCAACTGCCAATCTGTATTAGAAGGCAGATAAATTTGCTTTAGAGGAAGAGGCTGGGATTTTCCCATTATTAAGTTAACTAAGCTCCTCCAGGCTTTGGCTTCCACTCCCCTAGCTGAATTCACGAGATCCCAATTCAAGGGCTACGCGTGGCGTGACACAGCGTGAGTTCACAGGTTCCTGTGTTGCCGAAGATAATGCCAATCTGGGGAGCCTTGCAGTGAGGGTCCCCTATCTCTCCCAGCCACCTTGAGGCAGCATAGCAGAGATGAGACAGCTAGACACAGCTTCCCTGGAGGAAGCCCAACAGAGCACTGCTCACAGGGCTTGGTAAATATTTACTGACCTCTGAGATGAGGTTGTAAAGGTCAATGTGGACCTTTCAAATGACTTTTGTACTTAATGTGACTTCAAGGTGTTTTCACACTGTCCTGTTCAGCAGCTTCTCAGGAGGGCAATGGGCATCACTTAACACTTCCTATTTCCAGTAATTTACTGCAAGGAAATAAAGCTCCTATGAGATACACATAGGCTGCTCACTGTAAAGTGTGTGTAATGGGGGGAGCGAGAGCACAAAATGTTGAATATGGAAACAGTTTAATGAAGGTACACTCACTGAGAGGGCCTTATACAACTATTAACAATAACGCTTTAAGTAGCATTTAACGACAGGAAATAATATACTAAGAAAGTAAAACGCAGGACATAGAACTATACACAGCACTACCTGGATTTTGAAAAAAAATAACATGTATTTAAATTTGCATGCGGGAGTGCTCGCCACTGGCTTCACCTGCTGTGCTTCTGGAGGCCCACAGGAGGCTCGCAGTGAGCGTCACTGACAAAACAGAGGTGCCCACAGCTTGCCCAAGAGCCAGAAAAAAGAGACTAGAACAATTGAGCTCCATGAAGGAGTCAGAATTGATCTTTTCCTTTGCAGTTTCATAAGGTTCGAAGTTTCTCATTTTTGATACAGGACTTCTTAAAAAGAGGGGCCAAGAGAAGCCACGTTTGAGACACACACCGTGTAGCTGGCATTGAGCGTCTCAGCAACCCCCGCCAGAGCAGCCAGGATGCAGGTCTCTCGCGCGTTTCTCACACCAGGGCTTGGGCTCTGCTGTGTGAGCAGGACCACCTCCCGCCACGGCTTCATCGCTGCGCCCCTGGAGGCTCACGGAGAAGGCCATGGACAAAACAGAGCGCACAGCTTGCCCCAGAGCCAGCCCTTATCTTGCTTCCTAAACTTTTCAAATCTGCCAGAAGTAGAAAACTTTCTCTGGACAAGAAAGGCTTGAAGCTCAGGCCTCCATTCTGAAGTCGTTTTCACCCAGGCCCTCTAAGCCCATGGTCTCTGCCACCCTTATTGGCTTGGCATTTCATCAGGCGGCTGGCAGGCCAGGGCAGCATTCCCTGCGCCCCCCAGCCAGCTCCCTGCTCTCTGGCCTGGATACTAAAACAAACAGGCTGTGTGCGCTGGCTCCCTACTCAATCCAAGGAGGAGGGGAGCTGGGGGAGCAGCAAATATCCCAGCTATGCGAACAACCAGGGATATCTGGCAATGCAGTTGATCTTTTGTGATTTTATTTCAGCCAAACAGTCAGGATCTTGTGGCAGCTAGGAGGCTTAGTGTTCAGCTGAGTTCCAGGTACCGCCTTGGTGAGGGCTGCCCAACCCCCCCCGCCCCCCCACTGGCTCAGTTCCAGATAGGTCCCCAGTGACACTGCTGCAAACTCTCATGGAGCAGAGGTGGAATTTTTCTTCACTGTTCATCGCTTCCTGTTCCCTCACAGAAGCAGAGACAGGAAGTCACTTGGATGGGGTCACAGCAAGTCAGACATTCAGGACCGGGACGTGCTGCCTGGATCGGCATTTTCTCAAGTGCCACAGCAGCTGACTCAAAAAAACAGAAGCACCCAGGGACTCTGATCTAGGAAGGGGGAGGAGAGGACGTGGGGAATGGCACACGGCACACCAAGCAGCGATGAGGGGGGAATGACCGGGTCCTTTTGGGTTCAAGCTCATTATCTCCTGCATCCCCATTTTCAAAAAAGTTGGAGAACTCTGAGCTATAGTTTAAGTTACTGCAGGACTTAGCCAAACCTTCATGGTGTTCTGTAGACTGTGAAAACGTGTTGGGATTCCCATAAACACACTCGGCGAGCACCGCCCGGAGGCGAGTCCATGAGGACCTGGTGAGGACAGAATAGAAGGCCCAAAACTAGCTCTCCCTACGGGCCATTCTCTTCCAATCTACGATGCTGGATCAAACAAGGGTGTCACTCTAGAGCCTTTTGTCTACTCTGGCAAAAGTTTATGGTATTTTTCCACTTGCTGGTCAAAGCCCCTGGAAGAGAACCTTGCCTGGGGAAAATTCACTGGTGTCAGAAGGTATTTTAATGCCAAGCCCTTTCGCTCAGGAGTGAGAAGAGGGGCGGCCCTTCTGCTCTGAGACAGGGGAGAATCCTGGCCCAGCCAGGTGTGCTGGGCCCCTGTGGCTGTGAAGCCAGCAGCTCCCCTGGCGACTGTGGGGGAGCCTGCACCAATTTCCTCCCCAGTTTTCGGCGAGATAAATTCATCGGGAGGCCTTAAGTGCACTGAAACACCCAAGGGAGCAGTCGGGCGGGGACCCATCTCCTGGGACTCAGAGAAAAGAGCGGCCTTGCTGCAGAGGTCTGGGAACTGCTCCTGGGGCTGCGCAGCACAGGGGGGGGGCTGCTGCCCGAGGCCCCCAGCCTGTCCTGCATTCTTGGCCTTCTTGGCCTTTGTTGAGATGCTGTCCGCTTGAGACAGATCAGCATCTTCCTCAAGGGGTTCAAACTCGACACCCTGGGTTTTGGGCCTCTTGAGCCTCCTTTCTAACAACAGCCAGAGGAAGGTCGGTTTTCTAGCGGAAGAACTCATGTACTGCTGCACAGAGTCTGGAACAGAGGGAACAGCAAGCCTGGGGCCCAGGCTGTCCTGAAAGTAGTCCCTGTAGGCCTGTCGCCGGACAATGGGCACCACCCGGCCAGGCTTCAGTGCTGCCACAAAGGCACGGAGCTCGGCGTAGGAGGAGTGGTCGGAGTAAGGGATCACGTGGATATCGGGGTGAGAGCCGCGGATCTGCCGGCTCGTGGGGAGGATGGCAATGGTGGGGTGGGTGTGATTCCACCGCAGCATGGCGGAGTGGCGGATCTCCATGTGGTTCACGGCATGGATGCGGCCAGCCTTCTCCTCCACGGTGAACACATCTGCCAGGCCCAGCAGCTGGACCAACTCCAGGCGCCGAGGACTCAATACCACCCAGGTCCGAAATTCCAGGGCCAGCTGCTCCAGCAGTGACTCTTTCCCCAGGCTGTAAACTCCTGAATAATGTTGGGGATGGAGGCCAGGAAGAGAATGAAGGTACTGGAGATTCTAATAAATTGAGTATTTAACAAAAACGTAACAAAATGTCAGGGAGTATCAAAGCAGGAGGTGGCTTTTGAGCTATCTGGAGAATGGAGGGTGGGGGTAACACCGCATTCACTCATTTCACAGAGGAAGGCATTGACCAGTGGCCAGTCACTGAGAATAAGTCAGCTCTCAAGGGTATAATCTCCACAGAGAACCAGAAACAACAGAGTTGAGGGCAGTGGAGGTGACAGGCACAGAAAAGTACCATCTGGGGTCATGGAGTCTCCTGAAGATGACACCTAAGTCCTCAAGAATGGGTCTGAGGTAACCGGGAGGGGACGGAGGCCTCAGCAGAGAACTCTTCAAGAGCGGTCAGTTTGGTGTTACTGAGGTAAAAAGAAGGGACTGGTAAGACATGTCCCCGGAAAAGGACCACCCAAAAGAGGGCTGGTCACACCGTAAGTGCAGGGAGCCAGCACAGCGCCGGCGGTGGGGGATGGCTAGTTCTAATCATGGGGATGCTATAACATGAGTGTTAACATAAACTGGAGTCTGAGTTTGGCTAGTGGTGGTGGCACCGGCTATGAGAGAAGCTGTTTAATAGTTCTCAGAGCTTCCCTGAAGTGTATTTCTAGTCCTTAAGCGGGCTGTGAACTTCTTCAAAGGATCTATATTTCTTTTACAGCCACCTTATTCTTTATAGGCTAAAACCTTACTCTTTGGGTACAAATATGGCTGATTTTTTTCTCTCTCCTATGCTGAGCCTCCTCCTCCCCTTAAAGCCTCTTTTAGGTCTTTTTCTGCTAAACTGTGCACTCTTATATTTTACTCATCTTTCTATCTCCAGGGCCTAGCAAAAATAATATTTGGGACATAGGAAGGGCTTGTTATATATTTGCCAAATTAATCAAGCCCGGCCACAGCACCCTTTAGGCAGCCAGGAAACTACCTAGAAACTCTGGGAAAACTGCCTCAGTTGGGACTGAGAGGACTTCACAGCTGTGAAGCAACCTGAGAGTAACAGGCATTCCTCGATCAATTTGCAGTCATTCTAGAAGGCCTGAAACTTTTTTCTGTATCCTTGTTTAACCCCTCTCAGAGGGATTTCAGAGTTGGCGCACAACCTTTTAATATTCACTATGGTGGCCAAACTTTTTTCCTCTCAGGGACCTATTACAATTCTGGGAACAATCGAAAGGTCATTTAGAACTAAACCTATTACACTTTGAAAGACAAAAATGACCTCAAAGACAATGTCAAAGGAGCCCCCTAGTTCTGTATACCATGGAACTGCTAGAATAAGCATTCAGTGCGTTTCCCATGCACCTAACTTTTTAAAAATAGTTCACTTTCCCATCATTTTGTGCATTTTTTCCATCTCAACTGTAATCCCCATGGATTTCCCATCACCAAATCACCCGTGTGCCATCACCATAGGCCAGTGCATTTCCCTCCCCCCACTGTTTTTGATCCAATTCCCCACTCCACCCCATAAAATGTCTCTGGTATATAGCTGTTCATTATTATTATTTTCTCACCTGATCCATTATACTTCTGCTATAAGTGAAATCATCCGGAATTTTTCCTTTTCTTTCTGGCTTATTTCACTAATCATGAAGGACTCTCATTTGAATATCTACATTCAGATACATTTCATTCACCATATAGCAAATAAGTACTGAATGCCCCTATTGGGCATTAATTTAAACATCTGGGACACCCATAAGGAACAAACATTACAGCCATCGCGGGACTTACATTCGAGCAGGGAGAGACAGACAATAAAATGGAATATGGCAAGTGTCTAAATTACGGAAAACACTGCTAGGTGAAGTGCGCAATGTGGTTTGGGGTTGGGGTGAGGGGAGGGCAGGGGAGTGGGCAGACAATAAGCAATAAGCAATAGCATATTATACGAAGACTCGAGTAGAGCATGTCAGAAGGAAACGGGTCCGATGGGAAAGTGAAGTTCCGGTAGTGTGGGGCCAGGAGCTGGCAGTGTGAGAGGGGTACTGGTGGGCAGCTTCTACTTTTAAATAAATTGGTCAGAGCAGCTTTCATAGAGAAGGGAATTCTGCGCAAAGACTTGAAAGTGTAACCCTCCCCCAACTCCCCCCCCCCCCAAAGAACCTAGATTTAGGAGCTCTGAGTAAGAGTGAAAGGAAAAGAAACCACTCACCAATCTTTATGTGATGTTGCGGGTGCTTCCGAATGAGTTCAATGATCTGGCGGGCTGCCTCTTGTTGGGAGGGAAGAACCAGGGCTGGGTTGCAATTGGTGTTGTCTAGGTATAATGTGTGGATCTGTTTCCCCACTCTCAGGACTGGTTCTTTTAGCATGGATGGTGTATATCGAAAATCACCTGAAGAATACAGGGGTGGGGGCAGAGACAGTAACACAGAAGACTGACCTCACCCACCTCCAACAATGGGCAGATGTTTGCTGGCCTGTGGAGAAACTGTCACGGGCACTGAACTAATGTGGCACATAACACCTATGTGGACATGTTCCCATCCTGCTCCTGGCTTTTTGGAATATTTTTCACAAGCTTTGAACCTTAAAGAGTGGAAAACCAGATATAAAGAGAGGGTCGCTGGATTCATAAGCTAGAAGACCTCCAGCAAGCCTGTTAGGAGCTAAAGCTGCTCAAGAAAACAAATGTGTGGGCTGGGAAGGTGAGCAGGACCCCTCAGGAGGCCCACCTGTGTAGAGGATGTTCCCAAAGTATCCTTCAAAGAGAAACATGACAGCTCCAGGGCAGTGATTAGCATCTAGGAGGGTCACAGTCATGGTCTCTCGCCCAATTTCATCTAGAGGCAGGACATGGCTCTCACCAACCTCCAGGGCTCGGATCCACTGTTTGGCTACCTGAGGAAACAGTTTGGTCATCACAACAAAGACAGACCCCCCTCCCTGATAACTCTG